AATCCTAGCCCAATTTCAATATAGTGTATATCCATGCCCACTAGCCACCACGCGCAAACATCAACATCTCACAGATCATACCAGACATCTTGCTGGTTTATGTTGGATAGGATGGATGTATCTGTGGCTCATCTAATGACAACCGGCAAAGAAATTTAGACAGGGGCTGTTTTTTTTTTGTACCTTTTGATATGAATTCGTTACAGATGCGTCAGGTCTAATCCAATTTAATGAATGCTTTGGATCAATTTGGATCAGTCTAATTTAATGTTTATATCTTACAATTTATTTAAATTAGTTAGAACCCAAATCTATTTCATTATTTATTATGGATGGACCAGGTTCAATCCAATCTAATAAATACTTTTTGGATCATTAAATTTATACTGGTCCAATTTAATATTTTGTTAATTCATTTAGTTTGACTAAATTGATTTTGCTTTGGACTGGGTTCAATCCAAAATCGATCGATAAACACCTTATCCCATATGTTACTACTTTGGCTCCTTATATCAAGTGGTGTACGATGTATCTTTGATGTTTTTAATGGTTCATAAGTAAACAAAATACAAAAATTAAGGATACATATTCAGCCCCTTTTACTTTGGCTATGTTTGATTTAAAGGAAAATGTAGGGAAAGGTAAGGAAATCTGTACAAACCTTGTATAAGCTTTTTTGTCTTTCCCTACCTTTTCCTTCAAACCAAACATAGCGTAGGGATATATGAGTTGATAAAAGAAATAAAATACCTACTTTTGGATGATCTAGAAATTATATGAGTTGATACTATTTCACTTCTATTAACATATATTAATTTTATATTTACAAAAAAGGGACAAAAGGTCTTGAATGTGTTCTACTAAAACCTGTTCGTTTGATCTTAGAGAAAACTAACTTTGCATCTGAATGAAGGAGAGCACGATTGACTCCTAAGGTTGTATTTGGTTGCAGCGCAATTTTATTTGCACTAGTATAAATGTATGAGAGTGCAAATGAAGAAAGAATATAAATTTTGGTTTACTTTTGTTTTGGACTTTACTTTATTCTGCTTTATGTCTTTCTTTTTTTATTTTATTTGTACTACAATCAAACAAAGTAAAGTAAAATTTGAAAAAAAAAATTGATCAAAATTTTCATTCAAAACATTTGCATTGCCATAGCTTTGCATCAGTGCAAATAAATTTGCACTGCAACCAAACACAGCCTAAGGAGACAAGTTTCCTTATACCTCTAACGACTGCCCAACATTCAGATTCTGAGGCTGTATTTGCATGGCAAGGTTGCCCTTCTGCAATAGAAATATAGGAAGTTTAAAACTTCATATTGAATATGTGTTGGATAAATGTACAAGTATGGAGAAAGGTAACTTGATGCAGTAGTAAACTAGTAATCACCCTACTCTTGTGATAAAATCACTAAGGTTCAGTTTGGAAGGAATATAAATACAAATATATAGAGTGTAAATCCCTATATTCTGTATTATTTTGTATGTATTTGTAGTGTATATATTTGCATTTATATTATTTTTAAATTGAGTCTAAGAGTGCAAATAATATTGTGCAAATTCGCCCTGTACATTAACTTTGTATCAATGCCACATTTGGTTTGTGGGAATAAGGGTTTAGAATCGGAATCGGAATGGGCTATCCTGATTCCAATTATTTGGTTGGGTGGAATAAGAATGCCATTTCCCCATTTGAGGAAATGGCCATTCCTTCCCCTACCTTAGAAATGAAATTATATTCTTGCTGATTTCAATTTTCACTTTCGTTCCTATCTAAACCAAACAAACTATGAAAAATTGGAAACAAGTCAATTCCGATTGGATTTCGAAATCAAATGGGCCCCAAATAAGAGACTTGTTAGAGAGTAATGATTCATTATAGACAAAAGCTAAACATCCAAAATATAAATGACTATATGAAAAAGGGGTAAATCTATGATGCTATAAAAAAGTATGATATCAAACGAGATTTGGAAAATCAAAACCCCTCATGAATATTGGTGAATACTGATTAATTATTTACCACCTTTTTATTGTACTAGTTGATTGGTTACAAGGTTTTTAGATATGATAACTTTTTTGGTGGGACCTGTTGGTTTTGGATGATAGGGTCAATGTTTTGAGTCTGGATCTCTTGCCCATGAGAACTCTACCCATGTTTATTGCAGTCATACATGGAGAGTATCTCATCCTCTGTATAGTATTATGCAGGGGGAGATGTTCCCAATTCATGGGAGATAGTGTATTGTGGGTAGTCATGGCAGGAGATCCCGAGTCCAATGTTTCAATTGTTTGTGTCAAACATGTCAACATGGTATCATAATCATAAAGATATTAAAAACATATAAAAATGTGGACAATATATAGAAAGTTAAAGAAATAGGAGAATTTAAGTATGCCTTTTACTTTTATATTTATCACATTAAATAAAATAAATCTATATGAAGATGGAAGGGGGAGATAAACCTGGCAATTGGGTTGGGTTAAGACGCTTTGGGGGTTGATTTCAGCTCAGGTTATCAAATGTTAGAGCCTAACCCTAAATGTTCGGGTTAGGGTTGACCCATGGGTCAATTCAGATCATCCTACAAAATAACTGAAATTTAAAACAATAAAGAAAACATACATGAAAAATGCCAAAATTAAAGGAATTAACCTTAAAATTCCAAATATAAAATAAAAAATATGAACATTTAACATTTCAAAGAGTAAAGACTAAATAGAAAAAAATAAAAAGTGAAAACTTCTAACAATGCATAAATAGTCCCAATTAGACCTGACAATCGGGTCAACGGGTTGACCCATGACTCAACCCAACCCAACCTAGTTTTTTTTTTTTTGTTTTTTGGGGTTGGGTTGGATTGGGTTCAAGGGTTGGGTCAACTTTTTGCCCGATCTAGGAAGAGTGTTAACAAATCAACCGCCTCCCCAAATTTTTGTGAATATGAACTAATTGATTACTGTTTTTTTCAGGTAACATGGATTTACGTGTTTTTTAATACCATGGTTAAACTCTAAGGCTCTGTTTGGAAAGAATAGAAATATAAATATATAGAGTACAAAACCTTATATTTTATATTATTTTGTATGTATTTGCAATGTACATATTTGTATTTATACTCTTTCAAAACTGAGCCTAAGTAAAATTAAGTATGATAACAACGGGAGATGATGAATGGAATAACTTGTTACTTTTGTCTTTTAGTGAATAAGTTTTTAAGGAAATGGACAATTTGCGGTCTTCTTGGAGGTGGGATCAGCTCCGACTCCTCACAAATACCTCACAGGCATATCTCTGTGCATTGGGAACATCTTATCTCCCTTTAATAATAATACACAAGTATGGGAGATATTCCAATGCATAGTGGGATGTGCTTGTGAGGTATGTGTGAGGAGCAGATCTGGTCTCGCCTTCTTGAAGGTTAAAATTGAATTTGGGTATATCGTGGTCTCCCTTAACACTTTACCATTTAAAGGGTGGTAAAAATTTTTTTAAAAAATATATAAATGTTAATACAAATTTCAAAATGAGTTTGATTATGATACTGAAAAGATATGATATCTGAAAATTTTTTGACTAATCAATAAACCTGATATCCAATCAAGTATTATTTATCAAAATTAATAAATGGATTTTGATTGATCAAAACTCTTCCGATACTATATCTTTCTTGCATCGTAGACTTCTCATACTTAAAATACATAAATAATATTTTTTAAAACATCAAATTCATAACTTCAATAGAAAAAAACATGTTGTAAAATAAGATAATGATATATAGTATTTTGAAATAATTAATCAACACATTCATAATTTGCCCAGACGCGAGAACCAAAGCCAGAAGTACTTTTAAGTTTTATCATTAACCGTAGTCTCTCACTCACAATATTGATTATTGGGTGCAGGTGTAATTAGGGTTTTGATCCCAACACCTGTTCATGGGCGGCGTAGTTTGATGGCCCGGCCTGTAATGTAATTAGGCATGCGAGCTTGACGTTGGGCCTAATACAGTAAGTCCGACTGTGTTTCGGGCCGGGCTCGGTATTTATCAAAAAAGTTTGGCCTGTCCCGACTCAGCATTATATATTTTATAAAATATATAATATGTATTTTATATATTATATAAAATATATAAATAATATAATATTTATTGAAATATATATATTTATAATTTAATATATATTTTTTGTTATAATTTCTCTCCCTCTATTCAGCTGCTTCAGCAATAGTAATAGTATAGGTTAAATTTTAGATTTTTTATGAGGGCCGGGCTCAGGCCTAAATTATAGGCCCTATAGTCAGACTGGGCTCGAGTTCGGGCCTTAAAAAAATCTGTTAATACAGAATGAAAGCCCGGCCTGACCCAGAACAAATCTAATCCCGATGGCGGGACCCACTCCGATTCCGGTCAAAAATCAAACGAATCAACCATGTGAAGGATATATACTGTATTTTATACTTTTTTTTCCTGACTGATTTGATTATGATATGGTAATCTAAAAGAAACGAATAAATTGGACGGCTTCGATTATGTTACCGTGTTGATCTGGACATCCAACGAAATCTTCATTGGGACTCATTGTTGCTCCCATCCTCAGCGTCCCATCGGAATGCACCTCATCATTTTAACTTTTAGCCCACGGTAACCTCATTAAAGGTAGGGAAATAATGGGGGCAAATAATTTGGCTCGCACTCGAGGGGTCTTTACGTCAATATGCATGGTAAGACGACAACATAACAAGGTCACATTAGTCAATAAAGATTATCCTATTACGTTCGAATCCTCCTCTTTTCGTTGTTCCGGAGCGAAATCCCAAATCAACCCCTGGCCCCCCTCCATTTGATTCTGTAAATCTTCGATGAAGATCATCGCACTAAAGTTTGTTGTGGACGTATGGTTATAATTTATGAACCCTCTTTGCCTCAAGTGGAACCGGAGGGAATTTCTTCACCCTGACCAGCAAACTGCCACTTCTATTTAAACCACCTTCCCACCTCTCACACTCTACATCTTCTGCGCTCTCTTTCTATCTCGCACAGACACACACTCTCTTTCTCCCTCTCTTTCCGTCCTCTCCTCTCTCTGTTCAAACACCTGGGCCACCTACTCCAAAACCGCCTACCATTACCTAAAAACCACAAAATATTCAGAAACAGCGACTGGTTCACTTATTTCTAGACTACCCACTACCCGAAAACCACCAAAATGCTGTCGGATTACCATCTTTTCTTCATTCCAAAATCCGCTCATTCTTCTGTTTTGAGCTTTGAACTAGCTGCTTGTGTTCTGCTCCTCGTCCTTGTGTTTTCTTTCTGGCTCGCACCAGGTGGGCTTGCTTGGGCTCTCGCCAGCTCCAAATCCCGAACTGCTATCCCAGGACCATCTGGCTTCCCACTCTTGGGCCTGCTGTTCGCCTTTACAGGCTCTGCGGCCCATCGTGTTCTTGCTAAACTCGCCCAATGCTTCAATGCCAAGCCACTCATGGCCTTTTCTGTTGGCATCACTCGTTTCATCATCTCAAGCCACCCGGAAACAGCTAAAGAGATTTTGAACAGCTCGGCTTTTGCCGACCGACCCGTTAAGGAATCAGCTTACGAGCTTCTATTCCACCGGGCAATGGGATTCGCTCCTTTCGGCGAGTACTGGAGGAATTTAAGAAGAATCTCGTCTATCCACTTGTTTAGCCCGAAGAGGATCGCTGGTTTCGGGTCTTTCCGGAGGGAAATCGGTTTAAAGATGGTGGACAAGATTAGGGCTTCGATGGTGATGAAGGGGAAGGTTGAGGTGAAGAAAGTGTTGCGTTTTGGCTCACTGAACAATGTCATGATGAGTGTTTTTGGGAGGAGTTACGACTTTAGCGAAGGTGGAGATGGGTCTGAGCTTGAAGGATTGGTCAGCGAAGGGTATGAGTTACTTGGAATCTTTAACTGGAGTGATCATTTCCCTGTTCTGGGTTGGTTGGACTTGCAGGGTGTGAGGAGGAGGTGCAGGAAGTTGGTTGCCAAGGTTAATGTTTTTGTTAAAAATATTATAGATGAGCATAGGAAGAGGAGGGTTGATGGTGTTGTGGACGACGAGAGTGCCAGTGATTTCGTTGACATCTTGCTTGATTTGGAGAAAGAAGACAGGCTCAGTGACTCCGACATGATTGCTGTTCTTTGGGTCAGTTTTTTAATAGCTCGTGCCTTCTCATTTCTCTTGTTTCTTTGATTTCGTTTAGTTTTAATTTGCTTTTTAGCTTTAGAGCTTGTTTTCCTGACTTGGGTTCTTGTTTGACAATCAAAAGCTCGTTCGCTTTTGGGTATAGAAAGACAGTAGGCGGAGATTGTTGCTGGATTTTTTTTTTTTTTGCTTGGAGCTCTTTCTTGCTCTGATTTCTATATTTCGTTAGCTAGAACTTCATTGTTTTAATTGGTTTTCGAGTATGGGCTTTAACCTCGTTTTTTATTCTCTAGTCTTTATTAGCTGTTTGTGGTGGTTGGTTATGAAGTTGCTTGTTCAGAAGTTCTAAAATTTTTAGTTTTTTACTGGGTTCCGACTAGTTTCTTTCTTGGACTACTTTATTGTATAATATCTATATTTTACATTAACCTACAGTGGTTAAATGGTTAGAAACCCAAGTCAACTGACGTAAATCTTTATGAATGTTTCTCCAGGAGATGATATTCAGAGGCACTGATACAGTAGCAATCCTCTTGGAGTGGATTTTAGCAAGAATGGTGTTACACCCAGATATTCAAGCAAAAGCCCAATCCGAGATCGATTCTGTTGTGGGATCCACTCGATCTGTATCAGATTCTGATCTGCCCAACCTGCCTTACCTTCAGTCCATAGTGAAGGAATCCCTTCGGGTGCACCCTCCCGGTCCCCTCCTCTCCTGGGCCCGTCTTGCCGTCCATGATGTCCACATCGGAGAGAATTTCATCCCAGCAGGAACGACAGCAATGGTGAACATGTGGGCGATAACTCACGACGAGGGAATCTGGTCGGAGCCGACTGAGTTCAAGCCCGAGAGGTTTATGAAGGAGGAAGTGAGCATCATGGGGTCTGACTTGAGGTTAGCTCCTTTTGGCTCCGGGAGGAGAGTCTGCCCAGGTAAGGCCATGGGGTTGGCCACTGTGCAACTCTGGTTGGCTCAGTTACTTCAGAGCTTCAAATGGGTCCCTTCTGATAATGGGGTCGATCTGTCAGAGTGCCTGAAACTTTCTCTTGAGATGAAGAATCCTCTGACATGTGAAGCTGTTCCAAGGGTCACCTGAAAGTTTCATCTGTGGTGGGATTTGTCCTCTGATATGGGATTAACATAGATAATTAGGCTGGGTCGCACAACTTAATTTTGTTTTTAAATGCTTTGGTTTGAATTTTAGTGTTGTTAGGTTTTCTAAGTGAATGCAGTACCAGCTGACTGTCTTTTTTTTTTTTAATGTTTTTTACATTTCTGTTTTTTTGTGAGAAAAGGTGTTTTGCTTGCACTTGGTAAGGCTGGAGAAGCTGGACTGCTGGGCCTGTATGTAGTGTGATCCTGCTTTCGATATGAATATATACATAGAAAAAAAAATTATATGCTTAATTAACACTGTCTGTTTAAAGATGTACAGATAATTGGCTTGATTAAACCAAAGAATTATCCCTGGACTATTGAGAGATGGGTTAATGGAACCTCTTTGTATGTTGATAGTGGATGTTAGCTCATCTTATTCTGATATATTAAAATTTGGGACAATGACCACAGGTCACAAAACAAAGGTATATTGTAATCAGTCCTTTCAGTGGAAGCCGGGAATAGACCTCGGTGGTGTGGTCTATCTTTTCCGTTCACTTTTGCTCGTTTACTTTCTAGTAACGTAGTTTTCAAATAAAAAGTTGGAATAATGTGTCAAATGTGTTTCCTTCCATTTACAACTTGGAAATTGACTCCTTAGCTTCGGCCATCCATTTATAAAACCAAACCACCATTTCGGATTTCCCGCTGCTGCTGCTTCTAGCCAGCCACTCTTGTGAACATTTGACATTGGAATGCAATCTTTCAGTTGTTCTTGATGGGGTCCCTTGAGCATGAAAGGGCGGTTCTAGAAACTAAAATATCTCTGTGAAATTGTTTGTTTTCTTCGAAAAGTTGGGCTCAAATGGTTTTTTATCTTTTCTGGAATGCTCATCCATATTGAGATTTGGGATACCAATAGTTATCGAGTTTTGAGATATGGGTGTCAAAAAAATCTTATGAATTGTGACTTGTGAGTACTCCTTTGTATTCAGAAAATCAGGGTAAATCCCTTCCACCGGAGAAGAATGTGTGGTGAATAAGCTTGGTTCTGATTTGAATTCACTACTTGGAAATGGTTTCCTTAGTACAAAACAGGAATTCTTTTCTCTTGAGCATAGTATTGGTCTATTTTCAGTGGATGTATTGGTATAACATAACAACTAGAGTGACCCATCTGTTGATGCCGTGATGGTATTGATGATGATTTAAAGAAAAATAATAATACTGGATAAAACATTAATTGTAATAAATGATCGAATTTACTTTTAAGTATATACATGCATATCTTAATTCTTATACCATTTACCAACGTTTTTCAAGCCCCAAATGCATCTTGAGTATTGACATTTATTAAATGCTTTTTCATCTTATTTAGTCATTTGAGTTCCAGACAAGTGTTAATTAATTGTAATATTTTATGAGTTTGCCTAGTGTATTCAATCATATTCTGATTATTATTGTTCCATTTTCCATGTGTATATTTGATATGTATCTTAAAATCATCTTGCCCATAACCTTTGTAATACATATTGGGTGGGTCTTTAATGAGTTGAACCAATATTTTAGAGATCTTATTGACCTTGATCCAAACTCTAAACAATCCTCCAAATATATTCCAAGGATTTCTCTTTTGAAAGATAACAAGATTTGAGTGGGTTAAATTTTGGTGTATGTGATCGATCTCTTTAGATCCTACCACCAAAATGTGGGGTCCTAAACCTTGTAGAGAGAGAGAGAGAGAGAGAGAGGTACATTTGGACTGCCTAGGAGAGAAGGCAAAGAAAGACTCTTCATCCTTTATTTTATCCACATTACAACCTTCATCCTTTTTAGTTACAATCGTCCAAGCCCCTCTATCTTTTGCTGGCATTCTTTGTGCTTCTTTATCTCTTTGCCTTTTAAAATTGAATAAAACATGTTTGTTTGTTTACTAAAAATGAGATTCCTTAGTGGGGGGTGGGGGTTTATTTAATCGTCAATACTGCTTTTAGCTCTCTTTTAAAGTGTTTTCTTTTGATATGCACTTTACAGTACAACCACCAAATGATTGAAGAATAAGAACCTAAACCCAACTATGATATGGCTCAGCTCTTTTAGGGGATCCAAATCCTTGGCAGAATATATTATTTCAGGAGCTGTGCCAGTAAAAGTTTTTCTTCTTTTCTTTCCCCTTTATAAAGGAGATGCACATAGGATTTGAATATCCAAACTATACTATTTTTATTGTCTTCAAATTAAGTGCAACTTGTCGTACCTCCATTGCATCATCAATTTACATTTAGCCATATATAATACATATAAAGAAAAATGTAAATAACCCATTTTTTGTATACTTGAGAGGATGGTCTATTAGCTAAATAAGGACCGATCGGTTGCATACAATCAATTAAATTCCTCTCCTCTCACGCCATGTGTTGAGCCAATCAAATTTGTCATTCTGGCTCTGTTTGGAAGGAGTACAAATACAATATATATATATATAAAGTACAAAACCTTGTATTTTGTATCTATTTGTACTGTATATATTTGTATTTATAGCCAGAAGCACTCTACATATTTGTATTTGTAGTACTCTTACCAAACTGAGCCTCTGTGTTCTTGCCTATAAAGGGGAGGGGAATAACTTACAAACACAGCGTGGGTTGGCAAGTTACATTTGATAGTTGCTTCTACAAGGTGGCACATCTTGTTATTGATAGACTGAATTATAGAGTTAGAAGTTGGATAATTCTTATTTATTAATACCATGTCATGTTTGGCAAAAGTGAAAAGCTTTAAAAGAAAATCTAGGGCATCTATAGTATTTATCGACCATTATATGCCCTTCAAAGCTAGGGGATGGAGGCACTCCCTAGTCTCTAGGCAGCAAATGATAGTGAGAAAGGAATAATATTCCATTGACAACCAATTAGGATTTTCTACTAGAACTTCCAGTCTTTCTTCTTCTTCTTTAAGCTTTCTCATAGGGGGACAATAGGGGTCATGATAGTGAAGTTAGGGTGGGGCCTAGTTTTAGAATGGTGTGATGTCATGTTCCTCATGGTGCACTATATTTCATGGGTGAATTAAACCTCTTAGCCTTTCCTCCTGTTCATTTACCCTTCTCAGATAGAGTAACATACAGCTGCAATCTAATACAAAATATGAAGAGTCAAATAATTTTGTCCAAGCATTCTCTACACAATGAGTTCCTTTTCCCCCTTTTTTCTGCTCATTTATATAAATAAATAGTGACAGTTTTTATTTTATGTGTTGCATTTTGCTTATATTTGTATATTATTGCATCGTTTTCATCAATGGGTTTGTCTGTTATAGAACTATGGAAGTAGAATATCCTTGAAATATCCCAACCTTCATCTTAAATTATCAGTTGATTGTGGGTGAGCTTTCTTAGTCTCTCTTTCTGCAGCTTTAGTTTAATAAACAAGCAGAAGCCAAGAAGCTACTGATCTCAAGAGACTTGGTAACCTTAAACCTTACTTGGGCATCGATCTTAGCAATTACATTCCCTAATTAAGTTGCTGATTCGATAGAGGTTTATGTGTGAGACTGACGTAGTTTCTAACTAAGCACACTGGATGAAGCAATTCAGAAGAGATTAATTTAGAAGGGGTCCAACCAGTGAAGTAGAGTTTTAGTTAGTCAAGTTACAATAAATAATAGAGACTCAGAGAGGATGAGCACGCGGATGAGTTGTTCCATGAGGCCACATGGCCTGCCATGGTGAGGCATGATTTGGATGAGCAAAGCAAGTGACAATAAAGAATATATGAACCAAGGAGACAATAATATGAAACCTCTGGGTGGGGCTGATGCAGCCCATAAATCTAGAATAAATATGTGATGGAGAAGAGAACACCTTTTAGCCCTCCATTACCTTTCATTATATCAAGCAAAGTCATGACTGGGAGGCATCTCAGCAAATCATAGTCTAGCAAACCTTGATTCAAGTTTTAATTTTTAAAGACCACTAATGGAAAAAATAATGTGAGAAGAACATTCTCCTTCTAGCTTCAGTGCCAATGGAGGATGGGTGATCATATTGATGATGATCATGACTGCTCATATATTCTTCTTCTACTGTTGGATTCTTCCCCCAACATCTTCAAAATGTTCTACATGGAGAAGATAGAAAAACAATAAACAAATTGGTCTCATCTCCATAAAGACCCTTTACAAAATGTAGTGTGGCCTTACAATACAAGGCTCCAGATTGAACGATCATGGCAACAAAAACAACCTCTTCTATAGCATTCCTTCCTTTGATGCATTATCCCAAATTCCAACCAGGTGAGACCCCCCAAATTAATGGTGACCATCTCCTTGTGTGCTCCACATGCATCCAGTACTCCATCCTATGACTACCCTGTGCTGTTGATGATGATGTGGCCTGTGGGTGATGACAATAATGGCAACAATTAGAGAAGCAGAGATGTGTGATTAGTTTAATATTCTTCTTTCTCTTTTAAGTTTTATTTCACTGGGAACCCTAGGGCCTAGGCCAAGGAGAAAGAGATAGGACTTAGTAGGCCTTACATTAATCTAGTTCCACTGGAGAGATATCATACACCAAAGACTCAACACGATTGATAAGTCTTAAAAAAAAAAAAAAACTATGTGATGTATGCATTATAAGCGTTTGAATATTAACTTTTCCCATCCTCCAATTGTTTTGTAACAAAAAGACATAGTTGTGACATCATGTTTGGGGCCAGCTATATCTTCTCCTTATTATGTATGATGGGTCATGTGCCCCACAATGGGCTTTTGCCTTGGGATTAATCACATCATTGTACAACTGCAAATATGTTGTAAGACAGGTTCAATTGGTAGGTGGACCACGATAATCATGGATGGGTTCATGGTTACCCTTCATGTGCTACCTATGCTTCAATTTATCACCATCTAATTGGTGGGGCACCCATAAAAACTACTTATACTACAAAATGCACTCATTGTGACCCTATAATTGGTGCTTGACCTGGGTGGTAGTCATGACTCATGAATAGGGGTGCAACTTAGTAGGGTCCCAAGCCAAAGCTGGCTTGACCCAACCCACGCATTTGCATAGGTTGGATGTGGACTTTTGGGCTTTCGTAAAGGCCTATGTTTGGAAAGTCAAGCCTGTTATTGATTGTCAAGACACATGATCCATGCTCAATTCAAGCATTCTGTTACACATAGAGGAAAACAAATGTTCAATTTCCTAATCTGGTTAGGTCGAGATTTGGTTATCTGACCTACCTTATTGGGGAACTCTCTAGATTTGCTAGGTATTCCATCCATCATTCCACATCAGCCTGATCTATCACACTTTGGATTTACAGACCAAAGCCCTCAAACAAGAGGGTTTTGTGCTTCAAACATTCACACTCATTAAATCGGTAGATTAAAATTTAGGATCCGTTTGGTTTGTAGTCTGAATCGGAATTAAAATTTTCTGGAATTAGAATCGGAATGATCCATTTTCATAGTCTGTTTGATTCATACAGGAATGGAAATAGAAATTAAAATCAGTAGGAATGAGATTTAATTCCCAAGGGAAGGGCAGGGAATGACCATTCCCTCAGACGGAGGAATGCTATTCCAGTAGGAATATGAATAGAATTCCGATTTCGCCCAACCAAACAGTTGGAATCGAAATAACCCATTCCGATTCCAATTCTAGACCTCTATTCCTGCAAACCAAACGGGCCCTTAATCTAGATTACCTTCTATTTCTTACTATTAAGCCAAATAGAATTTAGTATCCTAACTGATCAAATAAAAAAAATTGTGAAAAGTTTTACATATTTTGCTGTGGGTTACATTCTTTCAGTTTCAGATAAAGGTCTCCTAAATCAAATAAATGACCCAACTATATGGGTGGGCTGGATGACCTTTGTCCATAGACATACACATATTTGTTCCCTAATTGGATCAAATAGAGAACTTCTGTAAATAATTTTTACTCTATTTATATGATAATTGACTTGACCCGTCCATAATTTACAGCTTATGTATATCTACGCATTTCCTTTTATGCATTTTTTTTTATAATTTTTTTTGTATAAACTGGACTCTAAGATCAAAGAAAATGGAGAAGAGAAAAATATTTGTATTGAGTAATAAAACTCCTAAATCCAGCTACCCTACCCCATATCTAACAAAGCCCACCTAGGCCCAAATTATTTTACGCTTGAGCTTGGGCTGGATGGACTTCTGGTTTGGTCAAATAGGAGCTCATAACTTTCTTAATATCTTATTCACTAAAGGACAAACCGATAATCATTTAAGCTGTGTTTGGTTTAAAAGAAAAAGTGGGGAATGAAGGGAAAGTTAGGGGTACCAGGTTTCCCTTCCTTTCCCTGGCTTTCTCTACCTTCTTTCAAAACAATACAGCCTTAGTTCATCCATCTCTGCTGTTATTAAAAAGTTCCTTAGTTAGGAAGTCTGGAGTCTGGACGTGGAAAACCTCCATAAGTTAACTTTGGAGTCAAATGTGTGCAATTTTACTGCAAGGTTTTAAAAGCCGATCTTGAATCGAAACTGTTCTGACCACTTTCTAGGTCAATGGTTTGATTGTCTAGAATAGATGGTCCGTTTTAACTTAAAAATAAAAAAATGACCAAAACTGTTAAATGGGTCAATGGTTTGACCATCCGGGTCAGCGGGCCACTGACCAAAACAACGATTTTTGGCCAAAGATCGGGTTAAGGGTGAAACAGAACCGGTTTCTTGGATAGTTCCCGGGCCAAATGGTCTAACTATATAGGTCAACGGTGGTTCAAAAACACTATTTTATTATTGGTTTTTGAACCACCATTGACCCGGATGGTCGAACCATTCGGCCCGGGAACCATCCAAGTAACCGGTTCCATTTTACCCCAAACTCAGTCCCTGGCCAAAACCCGTTGAATTGGTCAACGACTCGTTGACTCAGGTGGTCGAACCATCGAACCATTCAACCCATTCAACGGTTTTGGCCATTTTTTATTTTAATTATTTATTATTTTTTTGTTAGAACAGGTTATCCGTTCAAATTGGACGATTGAACCGTTAACCTAAAAATTGGTGGCCATAATGGTTTCGATTCTGGGTCATTTTTTAAAACATTGGTTTTACTGTATAGGTTCGAACCTGTTGAAAGGCAAACTCCCTTTTATTATTTATATGTGCGCATGTGCTTTGCACGTGAAAATTTTAGATGTTGATAATGATAGTAATAATATATACAAAATTTTTATAAACTTTATGCATTTTTATTTTTTGTTTTGATATATATTTGTTTTTGTTTATATTATTAATTAGATGCATATTGCAGAATCCAAATCTGATTGCATAAACATCTCATCCAGATATGTAATAATCAAATTGAGTTGTGAAGTTTTAAGTATAATTGATAGGCCTATCTGTTTGGCTAGACTCTTCTTTTTATAATGTTTTATCTTTTTGATGTATCTTTTTCGTTCATTTATAAAAAAAATGTAAGATTTAAATAGATGGAATTGAATGAGGTGAAAAGTAGTAGTTCAATTTATAATTTCAACCTTACAATTAAATATGAACTAAATTAAAAAAATGAGTATTTTAGTCAAAAGAAAGTTACACAATTTATTCATATTTTAATAGTAGTATAAATATAGAATTATAGATGTATTCAATTTTTCTATATTCTTTTTATGTATTTTTGTTTGTAAAAATAATTCTGATATGTCACACTTAATTTTTGTTTAATACGATAAACATATGATATTATACATGTGCCTGAATGCTTTTTTTTTGCAAAATTTATGTATTTTTTTATTTTTTTATTATTTATTTGTGACATTAAAAGTTAACACATTTTACCCAAAAGTTGAACTATTTATTATTAATTTTTTATGGCCACTTCTAAATTATGTATTCTATTTTCATTATTAATAAAAAGAATTCTTGTTTATTACACTTATTTTTTTTAATTAGATTAATAGAATATCATAAATGTGTTTATTTTTTCTATACTTTTGTAATTTTCTATATTTATTTATATTTTAAATTTTTTATTATCTAACTATGACTTTATAGGTTGATCAATTTGATTTGGATGGATGAATTGATTAGCTACCACTTGGATAAAGAATGATTTTATTTTTGAGTCAATTTAAAATATATAGGTCTATATTGTTAAAAACAATGACATAAATATAATTAGTAGCATTTATTAGTGAAAAATAACTTAAATATAGGATTTAATAAGATAAAATGAGATCTAATATCTTAAATATAAGGCTTAATGAGAGGGGATTAAATGAGGTATAAAGTAATAACTGGAGTTACATTTTCCATCTTTACAATTAGAGATGGTATAAATACATAAATATGGGCATTTTAGTAACCATTAAAACTGGGATTGGAGCTATAATAAAATGACTTTTAATACCCTTTCTCAAACAAAGGAATAAAAGGGTAATTTTAGTCCAAAAAAGTTTCACACTTTTATATATAGTATAAATTTATTTAATAGCAAAGGAAGGCTGACTGGATTGTGAATGTGGCCTCACAACTTCACAAGTATATATTTCCTCCCACCAAAGTCACATTAGGCTGAATTGAACTGAATGACTTGTTCCTTTTGTCTTTTAGTGCATAAAATAATTGCATAGACTACATTTGTTTCGTAAACTGGAATGAGTGTAAATCACTATTTGCAACCTGCTGTTTATTATTTTTTACAATAGTAGATAATGCTGTCTAGAGGGTTTTCTTATTTTAGGCCGATTTGGAAGCCTTTGTTTTCATCTGGGTTTAAATGTGTGTTGTCCTTCCTCCCTCATTTGCATTTTCATGAACAACGTATGGCTCTTTTCGGATCAGTGCAAAGTTGTAGCTGGGTGCAAGATCAAGACTGCCAATTTTGTAGGTTTCCGGATCTCATTCTCTACTTTTTTTTTAACAGAACATTATTGTGTATCAAACAGAATTTAAGCATTCACTTTTTCATGTTTTTGGTGGTTTTGTAGTTGTTGGGTGGGGGATTCATGGTGATGCAAATGGAATTCAATTCCAACACCCCAATGACAATTCATCCAAGCACAACCTAAAAGACTCGATGAAACCTCAAAACGGAGAACATTACCATAACATTTGTTATGTGTTTGTAATGCTGTCAATGGGTTGGGTCTGGACCGGTTCAGGGTGAAACCAGTCCAGCCTTGAATTGATAAAAAAGCATGCATACCCAGCCCACCCCGGACCTTACTCTATTACTTGGCCCAATCTTAAATCCTAAATACTAAGCCCCTAAGCCGTAATCTTAAATCTTAAACCTTTAAACCCTAAGTGCTAAACCATAACCTTAAATTCTAAAATCTGAACTCTAAATTCTAAACCCTTAAATCCTAAATTCTAAGATCTAAACTCTAAACTCTAAACCCTTAATCCTAAAACATAAACCCTAAATACTATCCTTAAAATAGAAATCCACATCCACTGTTGCAATAAGAAATATATAACCTTTGTATACGTTGATATGTGGTTTACAATGTAGAACAAACAGCTTCTGTATATATTGAACCTCAAGCCATAATTAATTGTAAGGTTTTTTATAGTTCAATCCACCCCAGAAATCTGAGCCCCACCATATAGGTGGGATGAATCCTAGCCATAGATTGATGTTAAATCCATGAATAGGATGCGGTTTATAGGAGAGGTTAGTAAATAAAGTACACTAACAAGGAAATATAATTTCAGATTTCTGAGATGGATTGCAATCTATTTTTCCCTTGATTGTATGGTCTTTCAACTGTTATTGGTCCGATGCTTTTGTCCGAGGGAAGTAAAGCCCGGTTTCCATAGCCCTTATTATTGGTGCTAAGTCCGGCCCGGAGATGATCACCTCTAGGTCAGATGGACTATGATTTCAGGGGCCAGGTCCTACTAAACTCCTTTCTGAAGTGGAGCAGGAGCAACCGACCAAGGAAACAATCTCGCAACACAACCTCAGTATGCGAGACAGTGGCTAGCTGAGCTTGGGAGTGCGATGAGCAGGAAATTTTTGTTACGATTCGGTGGAAGGTCCCTTCTTTCTTCGTCTTGCTTCGCTAAGACCACATTCCGTGCTGGACCTATACAAATCACGACAGTATCGAGTTCTCAGAGTTCATCCTCTTCCTCGTCTCTCCGTTTGCTTCGATTTCCGACCACGCCCACTTCCTCTATTCCTTCCTCTGTTACTTTTCGAACTTTAGCAACCAAATCATCAGCTGACAGTGAAGAAAGTGATAGCGGCGGTATAGACCCAGACCAAGGTAAGCTTCATCTGTGTATGCCCTTGTCCCTAACTATCCGTTTTATAGTTTATTCAGCGTTTTCATTTTTACTATTTTCTCTTTAGCTACTCTGCATTGCAAAAAACCTAGTTATTATTATTATTATTATTATTATTAGGGTCAAATATAGCTGACTAATAGTTACTAGCTTCATTGAAGAATGAAGAAATCCGAATATAACTGGAACTCGGTAGCTGCTTCGGTCCTTTGTTTCCAATTAAAACTTATTTATAATTCTAAGTTGAGCCTTCAAAGTTTTATTTTCGTGAGCTCTCCAAGTAAATTAACTCTGTTGAATACATGATCCAGCTATTCAGTTGGTACAAAATATTATTTACATTTTCCTTTTCTTGTTTCACAGAAATGGGGTTCCCAATAACTTCAACTCGTTGACTTGTCTGTGTTCTCTATCTAGTTTCTAGTACATGCTTCCATTTGATGTTTCAACTTTCAAGTCCTATGAGGTTAGAAGAAACTTGTTCACCACTATAGCTTTTGAAGACGAGATGTCTTGAACAATGAATGCGATTTTTTTATTCTTTTGTCTTTATGTAGTTATGTGTAATTTACCATATAGCGTCTGATGTTTCATGAGCTTTAGGATATTAATTTGAAGTTCATTATTCAACTCTTTTCTGTATCATCCATCTCTTATTGGTCCTGTTGAATTTGTCTTATTTATTTTGGTAATCTCAATTTTATGGACATCCATATGATTTGCTATGCAAGTGATCAATTTGGTTCATAATAAATTTCATATAAATATGGCAGTTCCTTAGCATGTCGTTAGCTATATCAGTATTGTTGTTGTCTGATTTATGAACTGAAGGAGCGTCTTTCATTTTTCCTGGTGATAAATACTTTGTTTGGCTTTTTATTTGAAGGAGAGTGGGATATGATTTCAATCCTATTTCTGGTTCTTTTGCAATTTTCTTATCAGATAGTTTTGGTCTTGGAGACTGTGTTTCTATGCTAAATCTTTAAAATTGTAGATGAAGCTTTGGAAGATGGTGACATCACAGATGGATGGGAGGAAGAGGATGATGCTGACCCACAGGTACAACTGTTTTGTGTGAGCATTTCTTTTTATCCAATTTTCATGCTTGCTAAAACTGTTTGCCTTTTAGATTGGTGATGGAGGGGATGGGGGTGGCATTGTATTGAGAGATGTTCCATGGGGTAAACGGGTTCTATCTATTGCCCATGAAATCCTGCTTCAATTCAGTGAAGATATGAAGCTATTCTCCTTCAAGACTTCTCCTCGAGGGTACATTTATGTCAGACTTGATAAGCTTTCAAACAAGTAAGGCCAACTTTGCTTGTATCTAATGGTCTATGTGTACTATCCTTTGGTTATCCTTTATTTGTCTTTCATATCCATTTGCGTCAACATAGTTGGGGCATTGGGCATATGATATGTGAACAAAAAAGAATTGCAATTTTTAAATGAAGAATTATTATCTCTTCTCAAACTGATCAAACAAATTATTGTCTTTTCAATATTATAGATTGTACTCTTTATGCCATATCAAGGTTCAAAGTATCGATACGATACGCATATCGGCAGTATCGTATCGGTACTTAGAAACGGCCGAAACTCTTTTTTTTTTCAAATTCTGCTTTTTTTTGGGAAGCTAAAAACATGTTTTTTATTATTAGAAAAAGTTGGGGTTCCGAAACACCTGGAAACAGGTGTTTCGGAGCGTATCTTTTTCAAAAGATACGATACGATATGCCCGATACGGGCCGTATCATATCGATACTTTAAACCATGTGCCATATGGTATGGTACCTAGGTCAGATTTAAAATTTGATTCTAGACCAAAATTTCAACATAGTTTAGAACCACATCCCTTTCCTGGAATGTTGAGATTATTAAGTTTTGGAAAAAGATTAGCCCCTTATAACAATCTAAGGGGGTGTTCAGAAATGTGGTTGTGTTTGTTTTCGTTGGTTTCTGAAACTATGACTACCACATCACCAAAAGCATGGTTTGGTGTTTGGCAATGTTGTTTTTGTTTTATCTCTGGAATAAACAAATAGGAAATTGTTTCAAGAAATAGTCATGTTTCAGGAACCCAAAAAAATTACTTCCTAAAAAAGAAAAAATAAACAAAACATCCAAGATACCCTTTTGTTTTGTTGATATGGGGCCTAGTGTGAGAAAATAATATTTTCTTAAACAACCACGTGGAGCCCAGCTTCTTGGAATCAAAGACAAGAAAAAACAAACCACGGTGATAATATTTTATCTGCTTTAATCTTATTGTTCATTTTTCATATTTTATCAATATTAGTCTCTACCTTACTTGAAAACAATAAAGATTTGATAATCCATATCTATCTCTTGCCAATTAGCCTCAAAACCAGAAAGAAACATTAATGTTTTATTGATTGATATGAGATTTTAATCCATAGTACTTGGTCTAAATCATACAAATGATCCGAATTCTTTTACATTCATTTAAAATAACGAAACTGAGATTCTTTCTTTAGATATCTGGTTTTTGTTATTGTAAGACGATGGAGTCATAAAAGGATATTGGCCCAGTCTATCCAACCTAAATCTGGGACAGACCGGTCCGTTTTCATGTTGTATAAGGCACACTATGTGCTGGAATAATAATCCAGAACATTAATTGAGAGTCTTCATGATTAACAATTAAAAGCATGTGTGCTAATTAAGAAATAGAACATTCTAGAGTAATCTTGATTAAATAAACATGTGCTCAAATCAGTTAAGGGATATTCCAGAATAATCAAGGTTAAAATCATAAAGAGGAAAATCTTAGAAAGTTCTGGAATATGGTCTACCCAGAATACTATAAATAGGTAACCTACACTCAAGTTCAGGGCCTCTTTACCATTCCCTCATTTCAGATCCATTTCCCACACATTCCTTTCTTTTTTTCTCTACCCTCTTCCTCTCCCCTGAACCACCACTGACTTGTGTCTGCTACTCTCTTTCTTGCTAGAATTCCAATTCCGGTGAACTACAAATAGGGGTGGCCACGAGCCGAGCTCGAGCCCGATATATAGGCTTGTTTGCTAATTGAGCTGAGCTCGAGCCCAGTGAAGCTCGGCTTGTGAGGCTTGTGAGCCTAATCGAGCCTAGCATAATAAATAAATATTTTTTATTACATATACATACATACATATACATGCACATATACATATACATATCTATAATAACTAATTTTTATTATATATAATAATATTTTTATTTTTTATGTATGATAGTAAATAATTTTTATAATTCTTATTTTTTGTATGTAAAATAAAAATAATTTTTATATGTATATTTTGTATTTTTTATATGTATAATAATAAATAATTTTAATAATTCTTAATTTTTTGTATGTAAAATCAAAAAAATATTTTTATATGTATAATTTTTTATTTTTTTAGAAAAAGCTTGGCTTGCAGTCGAGCTTGAGCCGAGTTGAGCTCGGATTTGTGAGCTTTTGAATCGAGTCGAGCTCGAGCTCAAGTCTCTATCTCGAAGAGCCTAACACTATTTCAGCAAGCCGAGCTCGAATAGCCAAGTATTTGGCTCTACTCGGCTCGAATCCACCCCTAACTACAAAGGCATGACCCCTTGCTAGAGGGTACGTAGTTAGCCCCTCTAGGGGTCTGGCCGTATTTTCTCTCCTTTTCCCCTCCCCCGTACCATCCTCTTCAAATTTTCAGGGTATAGACTGCACCTCCACCACCTTACAATTATTTTTATCCTTCAAAAGATTCACATTGTTTGGATCAGTGATTTAAAAGGTGTGCCTAAGGCTGTACAAGGTATTCAGATTGCAAAACAATTAGGAGTTCCACATTTGGTAGTTGAAGGAGACTCCAAAATTGTTGTGGGATGGCTGACAGAGCCAGCTTCAGCTATGTGGCGATACAGAGACTTATTGAGGAAAGTCAACTGGCTCACAAGAAATATGACAATTACCTCTCTTTGGGTGGGAAGATCAGCAAATATTTTAGTGGATGGGCTAGCTAAGCAGGGGGCTTCAAGGGTTTCCTGTATTGCCTTAATTTCTGGATTAATAAATTATCTTCATTCATAAAAAAAAGGCGTTCCTGAGGTGCACAGGCAAGGCACATTTTAGGGTAGGTGCCTCACCCAAGTCCTAGGCGCAACACTTTCAAAAGGCGCACGCCTGGTGCGCCTGATGCGCCTTGGCCCAGGCGAGTGCCTTTTGAAAATTGTACGCTTTTTTTCTTTTTTTTTGAACCTAGCGGTTGGAAGCCCTAACATGGACTTGTTTGGCTTGCCTCGAGGGGTGTGGCACAAAGACAACTCATAGAATCAGGAATGTAATATGTTTTACATCACATTAGCTACCTGAAGTAATGCAACTGAGAAAGAAAAGAGATTGTGAGCTTTACATGCTTGAAAATGTTTTATATGTTTGATTTTATTTTTAAATTTTCATTTGAATATGCTTTACATGTTATGTTTATGTATTTTAATTTTAGATAATAGATTTTTAAACCATTAATTTTAAAATTTAAGTGTACATTTCTTATTAATATTATGTTTTTACATTTTTTTGAATTTTCTGACATTTTTTTTTGTATTTTTGCGCCTTGCTTCAAAAACGTGTGCGCCTTGCCTTGCACCTCAGGCGTAAATTGGCCCCTACACCTTGTGCTTTTAAAACACTGGTTTGGATGAATTAGATCATCCAATGGGAATGTTTTCTTTCTATAGAAAACGTTGTTCATTGATACCACTTGCTGGATTGGTCAAATTCATGGTCACTTTTTGTGGAAGAGGATAGCAGGTTTGCATTCTGGTTGGGCTTGAATGTAGACTCTCTTGGTTGGTTCTTGGGTTTGTTGCCTAGTGAATTGTCAAGCATCCACTCCTAACTGGTCAACAAAAGGGCTAAGATTATGTGGTGATGTGTTAGGGCTGCAGTTTGTTGGATTATTTGGGAAGAGAAGTTTTGAAGTTTGGAAGTAATATTGGAGGTTACTCGTATTAGGGTGATACATTGGTTGAAAACTTTGGACATGTTTGCAGATTTCTCAGTAGATGAGTTGCTAAGAAAGTTGAAGGAGATTGCAGAATCAGCTTCAGCTAAGAAGGTTTCAAGTTCTTGTTGGACCCTTCCACCTCACAGTTTTATTAAACTGAATTTCGATGGCAGCAGTATGGGCAATCCAGGGCCATCTGGAATAGGGGGAATTATAAGAGATGAAAAAGGGAATCTGTTAGCCTTGTATTTTGGTCCAATTGGGGTGGGAGGTTCCTTGAGGGCTGAGATACTAGCAGCTCTTGAAGGGGTACAAAGGGCTAAAGACATGAATATTAATAAATTGATCATAGAAGGAGATTCTGAAATTGTGGTAAACTGGCTAAAAGAGGACAACTCTAGGCTTTGGAATTACAGCAATGAAAATAGGAAGACTAAGGACCTTGAAATTCAATGTACATGGGTAAAGAGAAGTGCAAATTCATTGGTAGATGGTCTAGCTAGGCAAGGGGTGAACAAAAACTCTAATTTTGGGGCTGTGTTGCAACTGTTTTATATTTTGGGTGTACCTTGGCTGTATTCAGGAGTTCAGATTGTTTATCTCCCTTGCTCTGTAATTTTCTCAATACTTTAATAAAATTCACTGTTATCGATAAAAAAAATGTTTGGGGAAAAAGGGCCATGTTTGTGGCCACCTATGAAACCTGGATACCAGTACTGGGTGTTATATTGTAACAAAATCTTCTGTTTTTAGTTAGGTTTCATGTCTAGCACCTTCTCCAGCCATGTCCATGCAAGTGTGGGTAATAAATATTAGTGGCTTCTATTTTTTTCTCACCTAATCCATAGCGAAAGGGTTCTGTGTGACTATGGAATTTATTTTTATGAATTTGGTCTGCATGAGACACTATGCTGTAGACATGTCAGATCCCTGCTGAAATTTTTTGTTAAAGTACCTCATGCTGAAAATCCTATCACTGATTGACACCTCATAACTCACTCAAAGATAAACATATCTACCAGATCTTGGTTTTGTTGGGTGGATACAACCTGATTACCTATCTAATAACAGGAAAAGCTTAAAAACAAACTAGTTCTGACCCTAAAAAAGTAGGGTGAAAGAAAAATGATGTGATTGCATCTTCAACTTTGCAAAAATTCAAAAACTTTGCAATAAGACTATAAATTAAGTTGGCCTTCTAAAATGACAAACCCTATTTCTTAAGACACTAACAAACTAAACGTTAAATTTGAGAAGACTTGAAAATACTAAAAACCAGAACACCTAAAAATTATGAAAGTGCCATTAGACAAGGTATTAGTTATTAGTTTCATCCTTCAGTAATTAGTTCTACGAAGGTGACACTCATGATGCATCTTGAACCGACTTGCCCTGCTTGGTATTGCCTCAGGTTCTGTTGGGTGTATCTGCTTTCTATTTAGTGTTTTGTCAATGTTTTGGTTTGTATCATGGGAATGGAGATAACTGAGCAGCATTTTGAACTTGCATTTTGTTTTTCTCTGAGTTTCATTATCATCCAATATCAAAGTCAGGTTTGATCAAGGTGCAATAAACAAATTGAATTTCAAACATCAACCTGACAAAGCCCATTTCTATTTCTGGTGATGTGTAGGAGTTTGTTAAAGAAAGATGTCTCTCTTTTTTTCTGATAGGTAACAGAAAAGAAATATTTCATTTTCCGGTCCTTCATTTCATGAAGGATATTGACATACAAATATTGATAGAAAATACTTGCTGATGTGCCAGGTATGCGCTAATTATACATTCTTTAATTTCAGATACGGGTGTCCTAGCATGGAAGAAATAGAAAATTATAGTTGCCTTTACAAGAAACGATTAGAGGAGGTGGGACAAACCGGAGAAATACCTGATGATTTAGCTCTTGAGGTAACCAGATGGCATGCTGTTTGTGCAGAGAGCAACTCAACCTAAGGGGGTATTTGTCAATATGTATGCTTGAAGAACAATTACCATGTAAGAATTGTTTTTTCTGACGTGCCAGTTGTTTTTGCTCTGAAAAACAAAAAGCACACGTATTGGCCAACACTCCCTAAATCAAGTTTGAAATCTATAACTGAGTAGCCAAAGCATTTATGGCTCTGTCAGATTTGTTGAAATCTTTGATCAACTTCGTAGGTGTCTTCACCTGGGGCAGAACGATTACTGAAGGTACCAGAGGACTTGGAACGATTCAAAAATATGCCCATGAGGGTATGCTACGTGGAAGACCACGTGGAGCCAAGATGCCCAGAAAAGGATGATGTTTTCCTGCTGGAATCTATAGAAGCTGAAACAGAGTTTTGTGTTTGGAAATTGGCAGATGTGAAGGAGAATCATGGCCTACTCGGTAAAGGAAGGCCATTGAGCCGAAAGCAGAAAGATTGGAGATTAAGATTGCCATTTTCAATGTTGAGAAAGGTGACACTGTATCTTGAATACTGACTTGTTAAACTCCCAACCATGTTTGAATTGAATGAAAAAAAAAGAATGTATTGTTCTTAATTTTAATGAGTTATATAGCAAGTCATAATAATTAGAATCATATAAAAACTATGGTGGTGTTTGGTACCACTACCGTTTTCTTGCCATTTTTTTGGAAAAACGCTGGTGGCTCAAAGCCTTTTTTTTAATTACTATTATGGAGAATTGCTTCTTATTTGGTTGGTGTTTTATTACAGCTTCTTAGGAAAATACTGTGGGTTTTTTGCCTCGATTTATGTGATAACTGTTTTTTTTTTTTCAAAAAAATGTCATTTTTGGTGTTTCATGTGGGGAGAAACATTTTTTCTTATGTGGTCCCTATTGTCGTCTATATAACTTGAAATAAGAATAAATGCAAATAAAATATTGTTTTTAGGATTTTCTATTCCTTTTAACATATGAGACCTAACTGGGAAAATTTTAGCTCATTTAATGATTTACATTGTTCCAATTAATTAGAGGTATCACATTGAATTAATCAGGACGTGTAACAGTATCAAAAACCAAACCACCAGTAGACATCCTCTTCCCCAAAATGAATGCAGAATAACCATGATTGAGGAAGCTTGGTATAGAGCTTTCCTCCCTTTCTTTCATCCTCTGGTGATGTTGGGGTTCACACCTGAATCCAAGTAATAAAGAAGCACATGTGGTTTGAACAAGATTATGTGTTTATGGGGTAGTTGAAGTTTAAATCTTTCAAAGATCGAGTATATAGCCACCGTTGTATAGTGGAGGGTAGAACTAGAAGTTGCTTTCTTTTTGTGCATCTCTCTCTCTCTATAAGCATGTTTTTGGTAGGGTCAAGATTCAAGAGAACAAGTTCAGAGCTGCAATACACCGATGAGTTGATCTCTCCAAAACAGAGCTTTGCAATTCACGAGTCACGAGTCACGAGTTCAAACTTAAAACATAAATGGCTTGCAAGATTGGAAATAAGTCTAATAGGCTTTAAAGCATTAAGATTGAGACGTGGAATTGGCAAGCTTGTAGTAAACTCCAACCACCACCAATATGATAGGAGAGACAGGGGGGAGCTCGATGTGCCTACCATGGCTGTCAATTGGACTGGATTTGGTCCAATCTGATCCAGTCCAAAGTGAATCTAATTATAAATAGACCAGAAACAATTCAATGCAACGAACATTTTGGACCATTTTGGATAGGCCCAATTCAATGTCTGGACTGTCCAATTTGTTCAAATTTGTTTTGATTTAGATTAATTCTAACCCAAACCTATTGGTCCAATTTAATGTCTAGTTGATCCGTTGAATCTGTCTAAATTGATTTTGGTTTGGATAGGGTCCAATCCAAAACCATTTGACACCCCTATTATCACCCACATGAATTTGAAAAAGTGAGGATATATTTTGAAAAATGTAAAAGAAAATAAAGGATAAAAGAGTCATATTTAATTCTATTTTAAAAAACTGAGGGTAAGTCAATTTATGAAAATTTTGGGTATATATAAGGGGTCGTTTGGCAAGTCTTTTTTGAATGATCTTTTGGAAGTTATGACAGTCAAAAGACGATGTGAGCTTTTGCATCAAGATCTTAACAGTTTGAAGACCGTTTGATTAAGGCACATCTGTCGGCGTGTTTTTCCGCGTGAAGATAAATTGAAAAAAGGCGAAAAGCTCCATTTAGAGCTTCCCAAAAATAGCCCGAGATGGCCTTCCCACATCTTTTCGGGGCTGCAGCTTTTGGTGGCTAGCTCTTTTCCCAACCAAACGGGAAAAGACCAAAACGTGGGTGCCAGGCTTCTAAAAAGCTGATAGCCCACACAAAAAGATGTGCCAAATGGGGCTTAAGCCTTTTACCCTTTTTAATATAGGGTCACTTACTAAAACACCTCCTATAGTTTCATGAATGTACTAAAACCTACCCTATAGTTTTCAATCAATTTACTTAATCGACCTTCCATTAAATGAAAGTGAAAAATGCAATTTTAACCCTACATCCATCAGATAAGTTTAATGAACAAATAAAAAAAAACAAAAACAAAAATGTCACTTTTGCCCCTAGTGAAAATGGACAATCACTATTTCTTTTCTATTTGGTCAATTTTTTCTATACAAAAAAGTGTTAAGGGTACTTTTGGAATAAACAACCATAGATCCATATCCTTGAACATTTTCTACCAGTTTAAGGGTAATTTTGAAATAAACAACCATGGGTCCATGCCATTGAACATTTTTCACATAGTTTAGGTGATCATATTACTATTTTCAAATGGCAAAATAAATATTTCTTATTGAATGTTCCATTAAGTAAATAGATTGTAAATTATAAGGGGTGTTTTAGACCGTTTAAGTAAATCTGTTTTTAGGGGGTGGTTCTAGTAAAATGACCTTTAATATAATCATAATAAAAATCATTATGGTGATAAAAACAAGTGTTTCAAAGAAAATTATCTTCAAAAGTTTAACCTTTTGGATATAAAATATAACAAAAAATTCAAAGAAAATGAAGAATCCTTTATATATTATTTAATATATATAATTGGTTGGGATCTGAATCGATTCGGACTGATCCGATTCAATAATTATTAATCGAGACAAAACGACTAAACGAGAACCGCATAATCCTATCGGTCGGAGCGGTTGTATCGGGTGGACCCGATCCACTGACAGCCATAGGCTAGGAAGGATTTATCCTTGAAGGCGGGTTTTACCCTCCTACCCCGACCCGTTGATATCTGTATCATCACTACTCTTTGTCCCTCCGATAATAGACCATGGAATCTCTCAGAACCCTCTCCCTCCCCCCCCCCCTCTCTCTCTCTCTCTCTCTCTCTTTCTTTCTCTCTTTCTCATATCACTCTGTAAGTGTATACTGCTGCTGTATCTCATCTCTGTGGAACAGAGAAAATGAGTAATAGGCACGGACCGCCGAAGCATCAAAACAAGTACGTATGGAAGCCAAACGCTGGTCACAAAAAGAACGAGACGGTAATTTATCAATATCTCTCATCTCATCCATAATAATGATAACCTCAACTCAACTATCTCTGTTGATGCTCAGAAATCAAAATAAGAAGCCCAATTTCTCCTCTTTTCCAATCATCAGGAACTCGGAGGAAAGTTTAGGCCTTTCTCGGATATTACTGGTGTTTGTGCTCGTTGTAAAGACCAGATCGAATGGAAACGCAGGTCTCTCTCTCTCTCTCTCTCTCTCTCTCTCTCTCTCTCTCTCTCGTCTCCCGCCGACTGATTACATTAAGTTGTAGGTACGGGAAATACAAGCCCCTTACTGAGCCTGCAAAATGGTACGTCTGCATATTCTTGTCTATTTGAATGTTGTTGAATGAATGCATCTGTTATTTGAAATGCCTTCTGTGGTGTTCTAATTTACAGTCAGCGTTGTTCTAAACGAGCAGTTCGGCAGGCTTACCACAATCTCTGTTCTGGTTAGCTTATGGAGTTCTGTTCTTTTTTGGGGGGTTGTTCGGCAGGCTTATATTTATTGTTTTGGTTGTGCTCAATGCTCATGTTCTTGTTTTCTGGTTAATTGCAGCTTGTGCCAAGGATCAAAATGTTTGCGCCAAGTGTTGTTGCCATGTTGATCAGATAATTGGAAGGTTCGGATAGTAACCAGCCCATAACCTAATTCTTTGAGTTGGAATGGTTTTGCATCTATTTGTATTCATTTTAAATAAATCTTAGTAAGATGAATTAATTATTTTAGCTCAAGTCACTCAGGTTTCCTGTTATGTTTCTTATGTAGAGACTGTTCAGAAATAGAGGCTGAGGAAAAAACACTTGAGGAAGTAAGTTCTCTCTCTCTCTATCCTTTCTTTTCTTTATATGTTCATGTTTTTTTTTTCTTTAACTATGATTTGTTTTTCTGTTTTCAAATTGGTAATCGTGGTGCTTTTTCATTAGCTTAATGAATATTGGTTGTCGGTTACAGGCTATTAAGAATGCTCGAGAGAGGGACAGACGGACCCTTCTACGTGCTGTAAGATTTTGTATATGAAGCTCGTTAGGTTTTGGATGATATGTAGACAGAACACAGCTGTTTTTAATTAATTAATTAAGTATATGAATTTAAAGTTAGAATGGAGAAATATAAGTTAAAGTAAGGCCCTGAACTGTAAGGATCTCTTACCATGACATACTCCAACTCAACTTAACTAAGCTTTCTCCCCACTATATGGATTTATCGTCTTCTCTATCTTTGTGCAATTTATGATATCTTGCCCTTGTTTTCTCTTCTTTTTTCTAATATGAAGAAAAAACAGTATTAAAATATTTGGTGAGATTGAGTAATGTATGTCTTTGTATTAGGAAATTGGGTAAATGACCTTCTATAGGATTTATTATGAATTCCTCAACATTTCTTAGTCCTGTAGGGAGGAGTAGGATTTGAAATTTATTAATCTTCTTGAAAGCAGATAAATTATCTCTTTGATATGCTATTATTTGATTTCTGTTAGAGCCTTCAACTCCATTTACAAACTAAAAGGGGAAAATATCCTGTCTATAGTTGCTGAATGAAATATCTTGAATGTTAGTGTGTGAGGCTAGGCGTTTTGCTTCCCTAAGACATGCCTAACATTAGTAGTTTCTCCAATGTGACATCTAGAACACTTGTCATGGATACTTATGGGCTAATAGCAGTATGTGTTCCTGATTTGTGTGTATGTGATGCAGTCTTGTATGTGCTGTAATCTGCATGGTTTTTAGCTTGATTTGGTGGAAAAGAAAATAGTTGTAGATTTGTAGTACGCTCTTTAGTTCTAACTTTGAACATTTAAACCCTTGCATTTGAAGCAGTTACTATCTAACACAGTTCAGTAAGTTAGAAATGATGAAGATGCATTTTTCAACTTGAGGAGTTCTCAAATTTTTATTTTTTTCTTTCTCTAAAGAAATCTTAGCCACAATCTAAGTGTAAGTCACAGATTGGTGTACGTCTATGTTAAGTGAAGACTTTTGCTAATCTGCAACATAGAAAGATGATATTTGAAAATTTCCACTTGCACTAATGTGATCAATACCTTGAGATTTAGCAAATCTATTGCAAAGAGAAATTGTTGCTTTCATGTAGCATTTTAGTTGTTTAGGCAAATGGAAACTGTTACTTATATCTAGATTGAATTATTTTGTCAAACACAGACATTCCTGGTTCTGTTTATTGACCCTTGTACTTTCCTAGTCTAAATTGCTCACTGATGCTGGCTCATCTGTATTGCAATAGATGAACAAAGGTAAATCAAATACTACTGTGAAAACTACAACAAATGGAGAGAGAAATAAAGTGGGAGAATTATTTCCAGCTGCGTCACTTGATGAATATGCCGATCTCAGTAGAGAGGATGATAATGAAGACGAATATGACGATGATGACCATATATGTAATTGAGAGGAGCAGATTCATATCTGCTTTTGGTATGTCAGTTTGCAGCCTAACAACTAACTCTCTTTACATTGACCAAGATGAGTTTGCACCAAAATTTTTTCTCCATCCTGGCAGTTCATTTGAGATATATGTTATAACAGAGAAGCATGGATTTCATCCTTTCCTTGGTAAGCAGATATTGGAATGTCTATGCATTTGATGCATTTAAAACATTGTATTATAAAAATGAATGAACTTGTTAGGAACCTGCCTAACTCAGGGCTCTTCGAGGGGCCAACCTCCTGAATTCTTGGAAGGAGAGAGAGAGAGAGAGAGAGAGAGTTTAATGCTGAAAGAGTCCTCTCCTATTCCTTTTCTGCTCTACTACTTATAGTGTTACAATCTTGACTGTTACAGCTGTTATAAGTGGATGGCAGTTGTGACAAGTGGCTGCTGATGTGGCCTCTTCTTGTAACTGACTAACTGCTTTCTGTTGGTCTGTTCCAACAGTCTTGACAGTCCAATTGGGTGGCAGTTGTTACAAGTGGATGGCGGTTATTACAAGTGGCTGGTTAGTGGCCTCCTCTTGTAAAACTGACTAACTGCCTTCTGTTGGTCTGTTCCAACAGTCTTGACAATCCCCCCTTCCTTTAGAGTGACCTTGCCCTCAAGGTCTAATGTTGGAAAATTTGATTGCAGATCTAAGTAGGATTCCCAGGTTGCATCCTCTTCCGGAAGGTTAGACCAAACAACTAATGCTTCTGGTATCACCCTGCCACCCCGGCGCACCCATCTGAAATCAATGATGCGGTCTGGCTCAGTCTGCACTTGTCCTTCTTCTGAAAATGTGTGAAGGGTCGTGCTTGTAATGACTCCTGACTTCAGCCCTTTCTTTAGTAAGGAGATATGGAATACAGGGTGCAATTTGGATGTTGCCGGAAGGTCCAGTTTGTAGGCCACTGATCCTACTCTCTCCAGGATTTTAAATGGGCCAAAATAGCGTGGGCTGAGTTTGTTCCACTGTCGGCTTGCAACTGAAATCTGCCTGAAGGGTTGTAATTTGAGAAATACCCAGTCACCTACTTCATATTGGACATTCTTGTGGTGTTTATCATAGGTGTGCTTCATCCATTGCTGTGCCTACAAGAATGATGCCTCAATTCCCTTAGCACCTCATCCCGTTGCGTTAGCTGTTCTTCAACGGCCGCTATTATGGTGGTTCCCTTTTCATAAGGAAGTAGAGGGGGTGGGTCCCGACCATATAAAGCTCTGAAGGGTGTCATCCCTGCGGCGCTATGGAACGTGGTGTTGTACCACCATTCGGCCCAGTGGATCCACTTCACCCATTGATTTGGTCGATCTCCTGCGAAGCATCTTAGATATGTTTCAAGACTCTTGTTAACTGCCTCTGTCTGTCCATCAGATTGGGGGTGGTAACTCGTTGACTTGAATAGTTTAACCCCGTAGGCGGAAGAGCTCAGCCCAGAAACGGCTCATAAAGATAGGGTCCCTGTCTGATACAATTGAGCTGGGGAGCCCATGTAGGCGCACAATTTTCTGGAGGAATAAATCAGCAATTGTGGCTGCTGTAAATGGGTGTGATAGAGGTAGGAAATGACTGTATTTTGTCAGTCTATCGACTACCACAAGGATGATTGTTTTGCCGGTAGAAACGGGCACTCCTGTGATGAAATCCATTGATATATCATCCCAGACCTGGGTTGGTATTGGGAGAGGTTGCAAGAGGCCTGCTGGTGTTGTAGTGGCTAACTTGTTTTGTTGGCATACTGCACACCTGGCTATGAAGTTCTGGATAGATGTACGCATGTCCTTCCAATGAAATTGTGTGGCGATGCGCTTTTGTGTTCGTAGGATGCCGGAGTGGCCCCCTGTGGGTGAGGCATGGAATAATTCTAGGAGCTTCCTGAGATGGGCAGAGGTTGCCGGGATTTCCAGGCGTCCCTTGAAGAAGAGTAGATCATTCTTAATTGTGTACCTGGGGTGCCGTGAGGGATTAGCCAATACTTGGGCCTTCAATTGCTGTAAGTCCTTATGGGATTGGGCTTCTTTCCGCAGTAGATCCAGGAGTGGAGAAGTCGGGGAAGATACTAGTAATTGAAATGACTGTGGCTGTCGTGAGAGGGCGTCCGCCACTCGGTTAGCAGCCCCTGCCTTGTATTCAATTCTATAGTCGTACCCCAGTAGCTTGGATATCCATCATTGCTGTTCTGGGGATAGAACTGATTGATCCAATAAGAACTTCAGACTTTGATGGTCAGCCCGAATTGTGAACCGTCTCCCGATCAAGTAGGATCGCCAACGTTGGACTGCTAAGACCATTGCTATTAATTCTCGCTCATAAACTGATTTGGCTCACTTTTGTGATGTTAAGGCCTTGTTGAAAAAGGCAAGTGGTCGCCCTTCTTGCATGAGAACGGCCCCAACGCCTTGACCGGAGGCATCACACTCAATGATGAATTCTTTTGTGAAATCAGGCAACGCTAATTTTGGAGGGCTCGCAACTTCTTGTTTCAACTGCTCAAACGCTTGTTGGGCATGGGCTGACCAGTTAAAAGCGTCTTGTTTCAGCAATTGAGCCAGTGGGGTAGCTATTAGGCCATAGTCTTTGATGAAGCGGCGATAGTACTCGAACAGGCCCAAGAAGGCCCTCAATTCTTTCACACATTTGGGTTGCGGCCAGCCCAATATACTGGAGATTTTATCTGGGTCAGCCGCTGCAGTCCCCTTTTCTACAACATGTCCTAAGTAGTGAACTTGATTTTGTCCAAAGGAGCACTTGGACTCTTTAGCGAACAGCTGGTGGGCTTCAAGTGTTGCAAGGGTGATCTGTAGATGGTTCAGATGTTCCTCCCAATTGGGGCTATAGACCAATATGTCATCAAAGAAAACCAGGATGAGCTTACGTAAATATGGCCGGAATATGTCATTCATCAAGGCCTGAAATGTGGTTGGAGCATTGGTCAGCCCAAATGGCATGACCCGGAACTCATAGTGGCCATCATGTGTCCTGAAAGCCGTTTTGTGAACATCCTCCCTATGTACCCTTATTTGATGATACCCAGCTCGTAAATCCAGTTTTGAAAATATAGTGGCTTGACTGAGTTCATCAAGCAGCTCATCAATGATTGGTATCGGGAGTCGGTCTTTAATGGTGATGCTGTTAAGGGCTCTGTAATCAATACAAAACCGCCACGTGCCATCCGTTTTCTTGACTAACAGTACCGGTGATGAGAATGGGCTGTGACTAGGCTGTATTATCCCTTGCTTAAGCATATCTTGAACCTGCTTCTCTATTTCAGATTTTTGGAAGTAAGGGTATCGGTAGGGTCTTACATTGGTCGGGGCTGATCCCGGCATGAGGGGAATGCGGTGGTCATGCTCCCGTTGTGGTGGCAGTCCTTGGGGTTCTTTGAACACATTGCTGTAGTGCTGAAGGAGTTGTTGTAGGCGGCCTTGGAAGTCTCTAGGCCCGCCTAGGCTGCTGTTAGCTAAGGATGGCCTGGTCAGCTTGAGTCCATGTGCATGCATATAGGCTGGTTTGGGTCTCCTCTTTGCTTTGTCAGTGTTGCAAGACTGATGGGCCTTGGTCCCTTGCATGTTTGCCCTTGTAGATGGACTGTAGAGTTTCCTGATGTGAAGTCCATGGTGAGACGGGCCCAGTCACAGACCACGGGTCCTAGCTGTCTTAACCATTGAATGCCTAGTACCACGTCCGCTCCACTGAGATGGAGAGGATATAGGTCCACCGCAAACTGATGACCTTGAATCTTTAGGGGTAGGCTCATGCAAATGCTATTGCAAGAGAGGTTGTTACCGTTGGCCACATGAACCGTAAAGGTCGTTGTTGGTTGCACCGGAAGTCCCATTTTATCTACCAAGACTTGGGTTATGAAGTTAAGGGAGCTGCCACTGTCTATGAGGATTGACACTTGGCGCCCTAGAATCAGCCCTGCAACTCTCATTGTTTGAGGAGATGCAAGTCCCGTAAGGGCTTGTAAGGATATTTCAGGCGTGCCATTGGATTGTATTTCCCAACCTGGGTTAGATTCTTTGCAACCGGTGCTGTCGTCTTCCTCTTCAGCATCTGTTTGGAGGAGAAACGCTTGTTGTTTCTTGCAGCGATGGCCTGGCCCAAATTTCTCTTCGCAGTTGTAGCAGAGACCTTTGTCTCTGCGGGCTTGCATCCCTACCCAGGTCAGTCGCTTGAAGGGAACCGGTGGGCCTGGGCCCAGAACTCCTTCTTCCTTGCCTGGTGCTGTCGTTCTTTCTTGCTCCTGGACCCCATGGTCGCTGCACCTTTCTTGCTCGACTGAACTTGTTTTCATACAGTCTTGCTAGTGCTGCTGCATTGATGACGGAAGTGGGCTGCATTGCCTTCACTTTTAGTCGCAATTCTTCCTTTAGGCCGCCGACGAAGCTTCCCACCAGTGCCTTCTCAGTCCATCTTGGACTCTCACGACCAGCCTTTCGAACTCCATCTGGTATTCTTTTACTGATCCCACCTGCCGCAGCTTTGCCAAATTTTCATCAAGATCTTCGAACCCAGATGATCCAAAACGAATAGTCATGGCGTCTGTGAAGTCTGCCTAGGTTTGACGAGGGTGCCCCCTTCGGTACCATTGAAACCAGAGGATGGCTTCCCCTTCAAGATGCGCAGAAGCCAGAGCTACCCTATCTTGCCCC